AGGAGGAGGAGGAGGAGGAGGAGGAGGAGGAGGAGGAGGATCGGCGCTGGTCACCTGTCTGCGCGAGTCTCCGCAACAGTCTCCGTGTGGCGCGAGCCTCAACGCTCTCTGCCCCTGCGGGCAGCGAAGCACGGGCGGGAGGCGGCGCTTCCATGACCTACACCGTGTCGTATTGGCCATCGGCCCGGGACTGACCGGCCTCTCGGGCCTGGGGTGGGGGGGTGCCTGGGCTCCCTGGCGAGCCGCAGCCGGTTCCCAGACCGGGGAGGGGCCCGGCGGTGCTGCTGCTGCGAGGGAAGTTCACAGGAGGCTGGAGTCCAAGGAAAACTAGGAAGACACTGGGTACATTTGAGCAGAACCAAGACGGAAAGCACAGGACATGCTTGTGTTCCTAGAGTCACTGGACTATCACACAACTGGGAAGATCGCGCTACCGTAGGAAGGAGGAGGGAGGGGTTCAAGGTAGAAGATGCTTCAGATTCTCCAGTGTCATAAACCTGTTCAGGCGTCATACTCCGGGAAAGCTAAAGCTGCGTTGTTCCCAAGCAATGGGAACCCGAGTCCCTTCTCTTCCAGGTAATAATTGTCACTGTCCCAGACCTCGGGGTGGCCGTCAAGTGTGAGGCAGGATTGGGAGGAACTCCCCCACCATGATCTCTTGGGGAGAGGCTTCTTCACCGACCCTGGCAAACGTGGGAAGGATGCTTGCAAACTGTCTGATTTCAACCAATGTGCAGGCTTGTCAGATGCTTTCAAGTCTCTCAAACAAAGTGTGAAATATTTTAATAAGCCAAAGCTATGTGGAATTTCTTTAGATGCCTTAACTGTGCCCCTCATGTAATTTTTGTCATTTTTTTCAAAACATTTTTTTAGTTTTTAGTTTTGTCCATTTGGTATCAGTTTATCAGATCAAATTACTTGTGAGTATATTCCCCCTGAATTGTTTTCTCATTTGCAGCATTAACACAATGTTAATAAATCTTTCTGTGGTGGAATTAATGGGAAATCCATCCATTCCAGAACTTGTTTCAGAGGATCAAAATTTAAAATCATTAATTGCACATTTGGGCTGTCTGTGTGGTCCTTGACTGTTTGGGCAAAGGACTTCAATTTGATATTCTAGAAATTTGTCAACTCTTGTCTGAATCCGCATAATTAATATTATGTCACTATCAATCTGAAATGGCTACTTTTCCCTAAAATTCAATATTAATTTAACACAAACTACTACTTGAGTGACTTGGTGACTTTTAGGGAAATACTGTCAGCAAAATGCAGGCTGTAGTAAGTGCACCCCACCGGGGAGACGGCCTTCATGGTGTTTCTCTAGCATGATCACTTGCCAATTCCCCGTGTCTCCGATCTCTCTTTACATAGAGTACCTCAGCACAGTATTTTCCTCAATGTAAACTGCTCTTAAAATAATCAGTTTTTTAATTTAGTGACCAGTCTTGTTAAATTTGTGTATTTACCAAAAACCACAGGATTGGAGTCTCACCTTGAGGGCCAGTCAGCGATGGCTGCTTCACAGTGAAGTATACTGGCCACCTGGCCATTCAGCTGTTGTGGGCTTAAGATTGTTAAGGCACCTTCAAATGTCTCATTTTTTTCTAGGTTGTCAGTAATCACTGTTTGTCACATAACTTTTGAGGCAATGGAACACACCTGAACTAAGAATTATTTCATTCTACCCTTTATACTCACTTAAAATCAGGCATCCCATCTAAAACAAATAAGTACCTGGATTGAAACTCTTGTACTTCCCCCAACAAGGTCAGAAACAGGGAAGAGGGGGGGAAAAATTGACTAAGATATGGAGTTAGGAAAGTGAAAAAAGATCACTTTTTATGTAGACATTAGCTTTTTGTAAATATTGTAACTGGTGAGTATAAAATGCAAAAGGTATAGTTAAAACATTTTCTCTATAAAACTGCTAATCTTTAAAAATATAACTGCTGCTAAAAATAAGAGCTCTTATTTCAGGAAAATTGGTGCTGTTTAGAAAACGAGATCTTGTGCCATAAATGCAGCTGAACTAAATATAAACATTAGTTCACACGTTAATGCTGTCGATGGAAGGAGTAAGGTAGAAAAACTTAACCAGTGACATCTTTTCCTAAACTATGTAGTATAACCATGTGATCATCCAGAATTTTTATTTTTCTTTGTTCAGATCACAAGTTCCTCAGCAACTTAGGGAGCCCCAGTCTTAAAATTTTAAAAGTGGGGGACTAAAGATATAGCTCAGTGATACAGTGTTTCTGGGTTCAGGAGTCAAATGCACTCTGCACGTGCATCCTGGACTGGGGACTCCCTCGTGCCACCCCATCTTGGAGGGCCAGCACACACCAAGGTGCTGAGCCTCAGAGGGCTCCCTTAAATGGTAGCTCCTACTAACTCTGGTAGCTGGAATACTCTGGGGAAAAGAATGAACAAACCAAGCTCGTTGGTGCTGCTTTTTACTTCATGCTGCAGCGACCAGAGCCTTACAACACTCCCGCTGGGCTGGCCATTCCTCTCACTGCCGTTTTCCCTGCTCCTAACTGAAGCACAGTGCCCACTCAGGCATCTATCCCAGAATACCCTGCATCAGGGCAGAGGGGCTGATGTGTGGCCACGCTGCTGCACCAGAGGACAACTCTGCAAGAGCCTTGGTCTTCCTGCCCTGCTGCCCCACCCACAACTGCCCTACCCTGACTAGAGTGGGTCTCAGGAAGCCCAGGTCCATTTCCTCCTGGGGAGTCCCCTCAGACCAACATATGCAGTCTAGGAATCCAGGTGCAAGAAGGGGGCTGTTTTCCTGGGTCAAGCCAGGGATACTGGCAAGCCAGCGGACCCACCTGCCCTCTTCTGCATGGCATGGCTGGCCAGCTCCTCCATCCCCATCCCCCTCCCAGCACCCTGGCCTGAGTGGGGAGAGAGAGGATGTTCCAGACACCAAGAGGTCAGGGCACACTTGGCAAAAAGTAGAAGACCCTAACTCATGTCACCACAAGACACTCTTATTCCACTCCAAGGCTCCAAGGTCACACACGCTTTCAGCAACATCCACATAAGGGAGACATCAGGGAGCAGGGGTGTCACAAACCATCCTAGAGCTGCATCATGACCCCTATGAGTGGCCCTCGTGGAGACCCTGGCTGGCATGGATGCTGTAGCAAGCACCCATGACAGTCATCTGTCCCCTCAACCTGAGCCTCTCCAACAGAAGAGGCAAGAATGAAGTGTTACTAACGTCCCTGTGCCTGGCTTCCATCCAGACTTCACCTGATGGAGTTGTAGTCACCAAGAAAGAACCTAGTAGTCAGGACCTGACTTTACAGAGTAAGAGGAGATCCCACACAGAAGGGAACTCGTGGAGGACATGGGCCCCCATCACTGAGGACCTGGGCTACAGATGGCCAATGTTCATCTGTATGTACAGGTGACGGTGGCACCCACCTTGCTGGGCCAGTCCTCACCAGACAGGGTCCAGCACACAAGAACACACAAAAATGGCCAACAGGTAGCACCTGATGGTTCACCTGACTCAGCCAGCAGAGGCTGACTCCAGAGGTGCCAAGGGGTACTGGGGTGGGTCAGCAATGCTTGCAGCAGGCACAGGCAGCAACAAAGGCACAGACGCAAGGCACATGCCACCAGAGCGATTCTTGGTCTCACCACCACCAAGCTTTCCCTCAACAATGCTGACCTCAACACAGTGCCACTGACTGGAGCAGGCCTCATGCCTCAAGCCCAAGGACACCAGCTCCCTAGAGCACAGTCCCCCGAACCCTGAGTGTGTCTGGCAGACTCTCGGCTCTCAGCCAGCCTGCCCCAGGAACTAGCTCAGATAAATCAATGCTTCTGAGAGAGGGACAAGTTTCCAGCTGCCCCTAAGAGGGAAGACATTCCAAGCTCTGGATCCCCCAAGGAGAGAAGCTTCTGAGGGACACAGGAACTGTGAATGGAAATGTAGGAGCCACACCCGTGAGAATTGCCATTTATTCCCCAAGTTGCCCAAATCATCACCAAGGGTTCACCACGGGGTGCAAAGGGGGGAATGAGGAGGCTCAAACACTGACGGGGGTCAGGAATTTGGAGGGAGGGGGAATGGTGGGGGGACCCCAGCTGTCCCTCCCTCTTCTAATGCCACAGAAAGGGGTCCTCCTCTGGCTGGCTCCCCTCCCCATCCCCCATGTCCAGTTTCTCTGGGGGAAATGGGTTGGGGATGTGGGAAGAGGGCGTAGTGTGAGTGGGCCCCAGAAGGGGGAAGGGCGCTGGGGTGGGAGTGCCCCCATTTCACATGCACTCACAACACTGTCTCCCAGGGAACAGGAGTGGGGGGAAGTCGGCCAGGCCAGGTCCCCCTCCTGCCCTGGATTATAGGAGGAAGGGGTTAGTGTTGGGTGCTGGGGGACCTGGGGGCATCATTGGGGGCAGACCAGGGCCCCCACCAAGGGGAGAGATGTAGGTAGGTGGAGCTCCAGGGGCTGGGGGCACAGGGCTGAGACGGAGCTGGTTCAGGGTGAGCGTTGCAGGGGGCGCTGGCTGGAAGGGATTGGTGACAGAGGGGCCGGTGGCTGGGGCTCCTGCAGAGAGAAAAGGAGACAGGGTGCAGTCAGCAGGTGCTGGCTCCGCCAGTGTCTGCACACAGTTGGGGGGTGGAGGGAAGCATCCCTAGCCCATGAGGCACTGGCTCTGGCTGGCCTGCAGGGGGTGCCACACTCACCACTTGGCAAGAAGGGATTGGAAGCCTTGGCTCCTGGAGGAGTGGGGCCGGGTCGGCTCACCAAGGAGTCCAGATCGACGAGGGCTGCATTGGGCCCCAGGAAGGATTCTGGCGTCTTCCGTGTGGGAGGTGTGGGGGTTGGGGCAGTGGCAGGTGGGGAACTTCCCACAGCTTCAGCCAGAGACCCCCCAACCCCACTCATGTCAAATGCCCCAGGGCTGCGGGCGGGCACCTCTCCTGCAAGCAGCTCCAGCTCCCCTAGGAGATAAGCAGGGTCACACAGCTCTGAAAGGAGCCAGGCAGGCTGGGACTTCCTTGAGGACGTGAGGCCCAGAGGGATCATGATCTGTCCAAGGCGGGCAGCTCAAACTCCAGAGCCCAAAGTCAAAGCTACAGGGGCCTAATTCCAGGGAGCAAGCACAGAGGGAATGTGGTGTCCCTGACAACCAGGGCAGTGACTCTCAGGAAGCAGCCATCTAAGAAGGGCCAGGTGCTGAAAGCAGGATGGTGCTCACAGAGCACCTTCAGGCTCAACACAGGCTCCTCACAAGAAGCCCACCTAGGGGCTGGGGATGTGGCTCAAGCGGTAGTGCGCTCGCCTGGCGTGCGTGAGGCCCGGGTTCGATCCTCAGCACCACATACCAACAAAGATGTTGTGTCCGCGGAAAACTAAAAAATAAATATTAAAATTCTCCAAAAAAAAAAAAAAAGAAGAAGCCCACCTAGCACGCGGGCCCCCCATGGGGATCTCACAGTGGAGGAGCCATGGCTGTCGCCATAAGCTGATGACCTCTATTGGCCTGAGGTCACTTAAAAAAAAAAAAAAATCTAAAAATTCTAATGTTAAAAACTACACAAATTTGTAAGGGGAGGAAAGGCTGAGAAGAATGCCAGCTGCAGACCAGCGGGCTGTCTAGGTCAGCGCCACCATAAGGGAGGAGGGGAGCTGGGGTCACTCTTTCCCTCCAGACCTCTTCAGTGGAAACGCTTCTACACCAGGGCTGGCACTTCAGCAGGAGTTTGCTTAATTCAAGAATTTTTTAAAAGTGGACAATGGCTGGGGACACACTCTGGTAAAGAGCCCTGCACTGGCCTGCTCCAGACGGATGCCTCGGGCAGAGAGGGACCAGAGGTGGGCGACCGGGTAGGCGATCACCAAAGGGAACTCTTTGTACTGCTTTGGCAACTTTTCCCCTCTGACATGACTCCCAACACAGCCACAGTGTCCTCTGTGAACAGGGTCTGGCTCATTCTATCTCACCAACTCTTCTGTCTTAAAGACATCCTGTCCTGCCTGGACGAGGAAAATGGGACAGGCAGAGACGGCGTGGGGAGCTTCTGGGGAACAAGGGGGGCAGGCAGCTCACCCGTGCTACTTCCAGAGGCTGGAAGGACTGTGCGGAGTCGGTCGAAGTCTGAGAATTCATCAGGTTCTGGGTCGAAGCCTCCAGCTGCTATGGGGGTCAGGGTGTTCCACTCAGCAAGCACCTGGAGGCCCTGCCTCTGCGCCCCGCACCCTCAGGACCCAGGAGGTGAACGTATTACACCAACATGCACATACAGCCCAGCTGCCCAATACCTGCAGTGCCATTGGTGCTGGGTTTGGCAGGTGACCCCCCCCAGGGGTCAGAGAACGCAGGTGCAGGAGCCCAGGGATCAGAAGCTGGGTGTCCACTGACCGGAGCCCCACCTAGGTGAGGAAGGAACAGCGGGGGGGAGGGTGGCCTCCCTGTTTGTGTGGCTGGGGGTTGCTTCCTCTGAGCCCGTAGCCACTGAAGCAATGACCCTAGCCCACGTCCATGCCTCCTCCAGGCATATACACCTGTACACCCATCGGGGTGCAGAGCCTGGGCCTAGCCTCACCAGACCTGCCACTCCTCCAAGCCTCCAGTCTTTGTCCAGACAGGCATCCAGCCCCTCCACACCCTAACCCAATCCAGCTTCACCCGCCACCCTCTCCAGGTACCCAAAACACACTCAGACTCTCCTGCGCAGTCCCTGTACAGCTGCCTCCTCCCCAGAGGCCCTCCCAAGTCCTCCAAGACTCAATCTCACTTGTCCTCCTCTGGGCCATCTCATCTGACACCCACAGTGTCCAGGGCACCCTCCACTGCCTGGAACCCCCCGACTGCATTTGTTCCCCCTCCTAAAGGCATGGTTGGCTAAGGGTTGTACACAGGGCTGAGGGGCTGTAGTGGAGTGGCCTGTGGCACTCACCATCAGAGCTTCCCCATGGGTCAGGCATGGGGCCCTCTCCAGCTGCAGGGGCTGGGGTCCCACCCCAAGGGTCAACAGAGGGTCCTGCAGGGGCAGCAGGCCTCCAGGGATCCCCAGAGGCTGGTGTGGGGGCTGGACCACCCCAAGGATCAGCAGCTGGAGGGACAACAGGTCCCCCCCAGGGGTCTGAGGCAGGGGCGGCCGTGGGGATGGGGCCAGCCATGGGTGCTGGGCCCCCCCATGGGTCTGAAGCCGGTGGAGGGGCCGGGGCCGTGAAGACATCAGCAAGATCCATGAGAGATGACTGCAAGAGAGAAAAGAGAAGAGCACACAGGTGCCGGAGGGACCGAGGGCAGAGGGTAGGGAAGGAGGGAAAAGGGTGGGGAGCCGGAGGAAAAGAGGGTGAGGACCTGGAGGGAAGGAGTGTGGGACCCTAAGGGTGCAGAGAAAAGACGAAAGAAGGGCCATCTCAGATGCCCTGCAGTGCCTCACCCACTGGTCCTGCCCATCTCCATCCACCTCCACCTACCCACAGCCCAGTCACCAAAGGGCCTGGGCCTAGTCCCCCCACTCTGGGCCCCTCCACTACCCGCACGGCAGCAGGTGGCCATTCACAACCTCTGATCAGCCCCTCAACCTGCAGCAGCTCAGGCTGCCCCACATACTGCGCCACATCTGATCTCAGCAGACTTTGCCTACCCTCCTCGTGCCTCACCCTGGACACCCTCCCCAAGCCCTGTTGTCCTGCAGCGACCGTGGTACACTGGGCCTCCAGGCGCTACACGTGTGAGAACACTTGAGCAGTGTCCAGGTGTGTGGGGGTGGCAACTGGGGCCCCATCTCTCTGCAAGTGGAGGTGCCCCACATTCATACACATGCCGCAGGCAGCACCCACGAGGCAAACAGCCTCAGAGAGACAAAAGAGCCACGTCCTTCTTCCTGGTCAATCAAGAGTGGAAGGAACAGAGGGGGCAGCTGGGGCAGCTAGATGAAGACCCTGTAGGCTGAGGCCGGCCTGAGCAGGCATTTTTGTCCATCAAATTGGCCCCGCTAGCTGACTACCCATGGCCACAGCTATTGCTCTGCATGTCCTCACATTTCAAGTCAGGACTGGCCTCAAGATTCCCTTGCCCGAAGGGTGGCAGTGGGGTCCAGAGAGTCATGGAGATGCTCAGGGCAGACCAGTGAGTGAAGAGAGGTCACCAGTGGAGACTGGACGAGAAGGTCAGTGTTGACCCTGCAGCCAGCCCTGAGGGACTCAGCCCCAACACCCAAATGAGCCCCATCCACCCAGAACCCTGATAGATGGAAGAGGAGCTTCTGGGAAGGTCTGGACACAGCTGCACAGCTCCGCCTTACCATGCGTTTCCCCAGAGAGGACACCCCAGGCAGGACATTCAACCCATGCCCTACACCCCACCCACAGCCGCGCAGGCTCTTGTAACATTCTGGGCCTTCTCTCTTCAGTACACCATGCCCAGAAATCACCTCCAACCACAGGAGAAGCCGGACGTCCCAGGGGAAGAGCACCCCACTCACTTCCTCCTTGCCTCCAGTCTCTCTCTTGCTCTCCTCTATTGCCATCTGCAGCCTTAGGTCGTCCCCACGACGGATTCGCTCTTCCTGTGGGGACAGAAGCACCAGCCAGAGCAGGAGTCAGAGCACAAGCACTGGGCAGACATGGCTTGCCGCGGCCTGGAAGGCCCCACCACCCTTTCTCCTTTTGGAAAATTAAAATGGGATGTGGACAATGAATGAAATGGTGTGGGACACCTGGGCCAAAGGCGGGTGGGTGGCAGGGAAGCATGTGTGGTCCAAGATGTGAAGAGTGTGAGGTGCCCCAGGGGGGCAGGGGCCACCCCACTGCCCTGGCCTTCTGCCAGGGCATGTGACTTGGTGGTGCTGCCTGCACTGGGGGTCTGCCACGCCAGGACAACCCTAGCAGGTCTGCCTCACTTCCAGGGCATCTCTACCAGACCCTATGCTACCCGAGGTCCTGCAGCCAAAGACACTGAGAGCTCAGTGTGGACCAAGCCTGTGGGCTGGGGGCACTCCAGGAAGGGGTGAGGGGTGGGACCCAAGCACCTGAGTAGGGTGTGAGGGGACCCCTGGGCAGGGCAGGGCAGGGAGGCCACTCTGACCTTATCGTGTTCCTCTCGGCTCAAACTAAGGGCCAGCTGGAGCTGGACGTCATCCTCGGGGCCGCAGGACGGGGGCTGGGGGAGAGAGAGTGTGAGGGGCAGAGGTGGGGAAGCCAGAGGCAGAGGCAGAGGCAGAGGCAGAAGGGAAGGTCAAGGAGGAGGACAGAAGACTGGAGAGGGTCAGAGAGGGGCACAAGACCCCCCAAGCCAGTGAGGGATGGGCAGAGGGAGATGCAGAGCACCAGATGGCGGAGATCCAGGACAGCTCCCAGAAAGGAAGGAAGGACAGAAACAGAGGACCAGGGCAAGCAGAGACTGAGCAAGGGCCAGGGAGGAGGGCTGGCAGGAGTGAGGGGAGCAGTGGAGAGTGAGGCATGGAGACAGGATGGCAGGATGAGATCGGCCCACGGCCCACAGCACCACCCAGTACCTGGTCAGCCTCCTCCTTGCTCATGGCCAGGGCCAGCTGGAGCTGCAGCTCCTCCTCCCCACTGCTCTGCGGCCAGGCCTGCTCTGCCTCAGGCGGGGGCCCGGAGCCCACTGCTGCTGAGGAGGCTGGGGGCAGGAAGAACACAAGACAGATGGACCAGGAACCAGGGACCTGGGAGTAAGAGATGGCAACCCCAGGGAGGGAAGGCGGGTGCTTCTGCTGCCAGATATCCACCACCAAGGCCTCTGCAGGCCAAGCCTGGGGCAGGGGTTGAGGAGCTAGGGTTGCAGAGAGAGGTGAAGGCAGACCCACCCACAGGAGGAACAAAGGGAGGACAGGAGCAAATTGCTGAGGAGGAGAGGGAGGGACGAGGGTGCTAAGGACACCTGAGCCCAGGCCTGTTTGCCTTGAGGTCTGCCCCAGAGCTGGGCAAGAGGTTCTTCTTCCCTGTCCCCTCTTAGCCCCCCACCAACCCTGGCAACCAGGGATGGAGGCCCAGAGCCTCAGTTTCCAGGGGCTCATGGAAGACTGTGGCTCTGGCAGGAACAGCTGGAATTCACAGGGAAGGACAGTGTCAGTTCAGGCTGTGGGACCCAAGGCTCAGTAAGAAGAGAGTAAGTAGACAAGGAGCTCTTGGTTCCGGGAGTAGAACAAGAAGGGACAGCTGGGGACACATGAAGCTGTCTCCGGGGCTGGAAGAAGTTGGAGAAGACAGTGGTAGGCCCCCAGGAGGGCTGACAGAGCCTCTGCAGTCAGCATCTCCTCACCACCCCTCCCTCCCCAGCGCCAAGTCTGCTAAACTCCCCTATGGGCACGGCCTCGGCAGCCCCCAGAGCAGACCCTGCACTCCCCTCTTCTCCCCACCCTAGCAAGTTGTCTCCTTCAGCTCTAGGTGCTGGGTCCTGTGCTCCTGGTCCCACCCACCCTGCATCCAGGCTCTCCTGCAAGTTGTCCGAGGGTCCACCGCACTCTATCAGGGCAGCCCGGAACCAGATCAGCGCAGTACTACAATGGGCCGCCAGGAGTCCCCATCCCACTGCCAAACCTTGGCCCCAGCCAAGGTGGGTGGGGAGCTTCAGGTCCACCTCATTCTGTCAACCACAGCATGGGGGGTTCACCCTCATTAGCCACCCTCCACAGGCGCCCTGTGGCTGCCAGCCCTGCCTGCTTCTACTCTCACCCTAGGGTGCTCCTGAGCTGCCTCCCACAGCTTGCTCCAGGGCAGGACCAGCAAACTGTGGCCTTTGGCCAAAGCTGGGCTTCTCACTTTCAACCAGCAGAAAAAACAAATGATAAAGAATACATTAAGACAGGGGCTGGGGCTGGGGGTCAGCGGTAGAGCACTTGCCTGCCATGTGTGAGGCACTGGGTTTGATTCTTAGCACCATTTACAGATAGATAAAATAAAGGTCTATCAACAACTAAAAATATATATTTAAAAAAATACATTAAGACATATGAAAATTACAGGAAATGCTGGGAAGTAAAACTGACCAAATTATAGTGTCATATTGTGTGTATGTACAAAGATATAATCCCACCAATATGTACAATGATAATAAACTAATTAAAAATGGAGGGGGAAAAAAAAACTAAGAAACTCAAATTTCAAGGTCCATGGTGGAGGTTTTGGGGACAGGGCCAGGCATGCTCACTTATGTGGACTGAGTAAAGTACATGCCATGAGATGGTTAAGGTCCCCAGTCTTTAGCCAATGCCCTGCCCAGCCCAGCCCTTCCCCACCAGCCACACTGGCCACTCCTGAGTCTCCCTGACTTCCTTTCCTCCCTGCTTTAAACTCCAGCTACAGGTTCATGGCCAAGGCTGGAGCCCTGGGCAGGTCTGTATACATGCTGCTCTGCCCTCACCTCTCCAAGTGGGAGCTAACAGAGAACTCAAACATGACACAACCAGACAGAAACACCCGCAGCTGGAACCCCCTGGCTCACAGGCTCCCTCCTGCTCCCTCTGCTCCAACAGGTCCAGCCAATCTCATTTCCAGGCAACACTCCATCTTCCCCATCCAGGAACAACCCCACTACCAACGGGGCTTTCCTAACCCAGGCATACGCGCACTACCCCGGAACAGCCAGTCTCCTGCACACCCTACTGGCCCTCCCTCCCCTGTGCGGCCAACTCCTCTCATAGCTGTGAGCATCCCCCCATCCAGAAAGAATGCATTACCCTGCACAATCCAGGGCCCACACGCCTGTCCATGCTTCAGGGAAGATCATGACCTTAGAATAGGGGATGAGCTCCAATTTCCTCTTTATTGTACTTCTACCTTTTTTAAAATGTTGGTCACTACCAATCAAGCTGAGTGTATCACTTATGAAGATCATCCTAAAGTCCCATGAAGCAGACACAAAGGCCTGTGGTGACCCTGGCTGATCCCCTCCTCCACAGCACTGGCCCTCCATCTCTGGTTCTCTCCGCCCACTCCAGAGCCTTTGCCCCACCTCATTTCTGCACAGGACAGCAGCACCCTTAAGTATGAGTCTGCATGACCTCCTAGCCCCATATCTGGAGGCCCTCTTACCTGGCACCAACCACTCCCCAGAGAGACCTGTGGGCACACCTGTCTGCACCTGCTCCAGGGACACTGCTGGCTGCCCTCAGGACCTAACGTACCTAGCCCTTAAAGAGGCACTGGGAGAATACTGTGGGAAAACTGAACAAATTTCAATTCTAGGGTTCCATGGCAACAGGCAAGGAGAGGCCTGAGGGGAAGGAAAGGACACAGGCCCACCAGACCAGGGTCCGGGTGAGGAAAGCCGGGCCCCTGATGGCTGGAAGGCAGGAACTCACAGGAGAAGACCCGATCCGAGGCTGTCAGGGGCTTCAAGGGAAAGGGAAGGGACCTCACCCGTGGCGGTCTGTGCAAGCTTCTCCTTGGTCTTGAGTGCGTGGGCACGTTCTTCCCGCAGCCGGTCCTCGTCACGCAGGAGGGCCACCAGCTGCTTGGCCTTCTCACGCACATTCACACCCTGGTCCTTGCCATCACGATCCACATACTGGAAGTCCTTCAGTGTTTGCACAGCATACATGTTCTCCTTGCACTGCTGGGACACACGCTCTGAGCCAGTCTTGATGAGGTACTCCATCAGTGTCATGGCCTACAGGGCAGGGACACACCAGTCACTCAGGTTGGGTATCCCAGCAGAGCCTGCAGAGAAGTACCCAGACACTCATGCAGCCTCCTGGGTGCAAGTCCCACGGCCCATGTCATCTCAGTGGTAGACATGTCCATCCGCACAGTAGGAGCATGAGGTGGTAGGAAGGGTGAAGTGACGACACATGCGCAGAAGGAGGCGAGACAGAGCGTGTTCAGAAAGTAGCCACGCGCAGCGGTCCAGAGTGGTCACCGAAACTGCCTGCAGCCTGCCAAGGGCTGGGGAGGCTGAGTAGGGAGGGCACCTTCAGTGGGGTGGGGGTCCTTTCAGCATGATGAGAAGTTCGGTCACCAGAAAGGGGTGGCTGCCCAACACCGAGTGCACCAGATGCCGCCAACTGTTTGCTGCAAAGGGGTGACCTGGAGATGCAGCTCTATCTACCTGAATGAAAACAGCAAAGAGGATAGGGCGGCCGCAGCCACTGGGTGGCCTGGGGTCATCTGCTGCCACCAAGCTTTCTCCACATCCTTCAAATCAGAATATGAGGAACAGGGCCAAACAAAAGTGCACCTGTCAAGGCACTCTAGAGGTGCCTTGGACAGCCTGCGCCTCGGTCTGTAAGTCTGAATGTGCCCTCACTCTTGAGAGCCCACGCTCTGCACACTGACAGGAGTCTGGGGTGACCAGGTGAAGTCCTCCAGGAAGGAGCCCACGCTCTCAGACAGAACACCAGGATGGCAGCTGGGGCTGGAGCTCAGTGGTAGGGCCTTGGCCTTGCACATTTGGGGCCCTGGGTTCAATCCTCAGCACCACATAAAATAAATAAAAACAAAATAAAGAAACTGTGTCCATCTATAACTAAAAAAAAAAAAAAAATTTTAAATAGAAAGAAAGAACACCAGGATGAAGAGGTCAGGGCGGAGAAACACTGCTGTTGAACCTGCACCCTTTGGGCCTTCTATATTTTGTAACATATGAATAAGTTATCGTTCAATAAACTAAAACTGAATGGGGGATAAAACACATCCCTGGGCAAGGCCTGGACCCAAGACCCCATCTACAGAGCAAGGTTCCAGGTCCCTTTAATACTGGCGACCGTCCTCAGAAAAAGGCACATCCCAATTTTACAGGTGATTTTCAGGGGCTTCGTGGAGCCCCCAAAACCCATCCAGGCTCCCAGGTACACAGCAAAGTGGGGGGGAAACGGAGGGATAGGGCTTCAGTTGTAGCTCAGTGGTACTTGCCTAGCATGTGTGAGGCACTGGGTTCGAACCTCAGCACCACATACAAATAAACAAAGACATTGTGTCCATATAAAACAAACCAAAAAAAATTGGGGGGAAAAAAAAAAAGGAGGAGGCAGCTGCTGCAGCCAAACTCTGTCTAAACTGTGAATTTGCCAGAAACTGCTGCTGTGGGCCATTAGCATCTGCCCAGCCTTCTGGGGGAGAGAGCCTAGGTTTGGCCAGGCTCTCTAAACACGTGTTAGGAGCACTTATGGATGAGACTGGAGACTAATCTTTAACTGGCCCTGGAAGTGTTTGCATGTAGCAGGGAAAGGAAAAAGCACAGTGATTTCTATCCAGCATCACTCCCTATCCTGAGAGGCAGAGGGGCAAGCTAGGTCCAGAACTCCTGGGGCCCAGCACTTTGGAATCCAGAATCTCCCTGATTTACAACAGGAAGACTGTGCACATGCCACCCTAAGAGAACTCTCAGAGGAGAGTCACGCCAACTCACAAAGTGAGACCAACACACACTCTATTAAAGGCCCCACCTTGGTCAGCATCAGACTTTGCACCAATGGATTATAACAAACTTTCACTTTCAGAGCTCTCTGGACTTCGGAGTTGCAGTTAGATTGTGAACCCAGGATCTAGCCCCAAAACCCAGCCACAGTGAAATGCGTACATCAATTGAAGTTAAGTTCACACAGTGGGGTAACCATATACACAAAAATAAAAGAAAAATGAACTGCTACATGCAACAATATGGGCCAAGCCCCTAGACCCGATAGTAAGCAAAGGTGGACCTCAAGCAGCCTTCTAGTGTTCTAGATCAGTCTTGGCAGGAAGCCACGGTGCCTCTGGGGCAGAGATGTTATGAGGGAGGCTACCAGCAGCTGGACACACCCTCTGCCTCCCTCTTGACAGGACACACAGGTGTGCAGGTAGGCAAAAGCAAATCACACTACACACTCATGATCTGTTTGGTATGCCACAACTCAGAAAATCTTAAAACTTTAATGTAAAAGCAGGCAACTGAACAACCCAACACTCCCTGCTAAACTTTGAAACAGCTTTATCAAAGATGTCCTACATCACAATGAACAAGGGGTCAGCACCTACTTTCTGTAAAGGGCAATGCATGGAATTTGGCCTAAGGCCTACAGCTTGCTCACCCCTGAGCTACTTCTGCCTTAGTTTACTGATCTGAAAAATCATTGAAAAGGAGGGAAGAACCTCCTTCACTGGGTAATTTGGAGGCTGTGCTGAGAACCTGTGTTTGACAGAGGACCATGCCTAAAAGTGGAGGATAAACACTGAACCTACTCATTCAAGATTCATCCCTGGGGCCACTCGGAGTGTTCTTTTTCTGCAGGGGCAGTTAGACCCCACGAAATGAGGCCAGGCAGGAGCATTCTGGCTTTGGAGAGATGAGCCCACGTCCCAGACCACTCCCCAAACTCTGAGCCTCAGTTTTCCCACCCATCCAAGGCGACAGAGGTGGGAATGAGAGGTCCTCCCCAAGCGGGCAGGAGTCAGCAAAGGGGCCCTGAGGGCAGAGGGTGTGCCCCAGGCTCCTGGCAGCTCAGGGACACTGGGTCTCTGGGATTCCATCTTTATCACACACACTTCCAGGAGGGAACTGTGAAGCCCAAAGGAGGTGCCAGTCAGATGCAGACAGTGGCCCCTGCTGAACCCTGGCCAAGTGTACACTTAGATCTCCACATGTGTGGCAGCAGCTAGAAGAGCAATTCATAATGACTTGCACGGCCACGTGCAGGTCAGCATGGGGATAGAACTGGCTCCAGACGCAGCAGGGTATCACAGATGCCATTAATTCTCTGGGGACTCCTGAGCACTCAAAGACTAACATCCACAGGCTCTGTCACAGGGAAAACAGAATCAGAAGCAGCTGCAGAATTGGAGAGTAGAGCAGGGGCATTTGGGCCAGGTCAGGGCATGGAGAAGGAAAGCCAAATGTCACCAGGGGCCAGGTGTGGTGGCACACACTTGTAATCCCAGCAGCTCAGGGGGCTGAGACAGGAGGATCACGAGTTCAAAGGCAGCCACAGCAACTTAGCAAAGCCCTAAGCAACTCAGCAAGACCCTGTCTCTAAATAAAATATTTTTTAAAAGAGCTAGGGATGTGGCTCAGTAGTCAAGTGCTCCTGGGTTCAATTCCCAAAAAAAAAAAAAGGTGGGGGGGGGGGGGGGGGCCTCAGCAGCAGAGGGCTTGCCTAGAATGTGCCAGCTGCTGGGTTCGATTCTCGGCACCACATAAAAATAAATAAATTAATAAGATAAAGGTATGGTGTCCAACTACAACTAAAAAAATTTTTTTAAAATATTTTTAAAGGGCTGGGGATGTGGCTCAAGCGGTAGCGCGCTCGCCTGGCATGCGTGCAACCCGGGTTCAATCCTCAGCACCACATACAAACGAAGATGTTGTGTCCGCCGAAAACTAGAAAATAAATATAAAAAAAAATATATATATATATTTTTTTTTAAAAAGTCATGGGGGACCTTCCCAGGGTGACAAAAATGTTGTGTCTTGACTTTGATGGTAATTTAAAATACACCCATCTATCAGAATCCCGAGAGTGGTATCTAAAAAGGTTTTACTATTTACAAAGTAGATCTCATTAAGTCCATCTTTTAAAAATTTTTTAAGGGGCTGGGGCTGTGGCTCAGTGGTAGAGTGCTCACTTAGCACGTGCAAGACCCTGGGTTTGATCCTCAGCACCACATAAAAATAAATAAAATAAAGGTATTGTGTCCAACTACAACTGAAAAATACATTTAGGGATGAGGATGTGGCTCAGTGGTAGAGCACTTGCCTAGCATGTGTGAGGTCATGTGTGAGGCCCTGGGTTCAATTTTCGCACCGCATATAAATAAGTAAAAATAAAGGTCCATTGACAATAAAAAAAGGAAAAGAAATGATACTTTAAAAAAAAAAAAAAAGCACCTTCAGTGTCCAGCCCTGCAGGAAGGATGAGGGGTGGGAATAGCAGTGCCTGAGGCCAGGGCTTGGGACTCTGAGCCTGTGGCTACATCTGGGTCCCCTACCAACATGGGCTTCTTTTCCTTTCCCTACCATTTGTGGGGGGACCCCTATACTGGGTTCAATTCTCAGCACCACATATAAATTAATAAAAATAAATAAGGGTCCATCAACAACTAAAAAAAAAAAATCCACGGGCTGGGGTTGTGGCTCAAGCAGTAGCGCGGCTCGCCTGGCATGCGTGCGGCCCGGGTTCGATCCTCAGCACCACATACAAACAAAGATGTTGTGTCCGCCGAAAACTAAAAAATAAATATTAAAAAATTCTCTCTCTCTCTCTCTAAAAATAAATAAATAAATATAATCCATAATTTTTTTTAAAAATTAAAAAAAAAACAGGTTAGAAAAGTCAGGAAGGACCTGTGACTGGCCTGGCGGCCTCTTCAGAAGTCTTCCCCTATCACAACAGCTTCAGAGTCCTCCACCATCCCCACAAGCCCCTCTAACTTAGTTAGAGTTGACCACCTCTGTCCCGCAGCTGTTGGGGGGCCAGAGCAGGTCCTTAGCACCATCCAGCAAAAGGCCAACCCAACAGGATTCAAGACACAGCCTTGTGTGGACTCCCCACCACCCTCAAGAAGCACCCAGGCCTACCCGCCCATCTCTCCTGCCACTTCCCTGCCCTGTGTGCAGCCCACAGCCACCAGCCTGGAACATTCCCAAGACTTCCTGACCCTGCCCAAAAGCCACCTGCTGCATTTTGCCACCAGCAGCAATATACCAGCTACTGGTCAGGAAGGATCTGCTATCCAAGGCCCCCAGCCCCCCACCATGCACTCCTCTCTTCCAACCCCATCAGCCCATCCTTTCTCCCTGCCCCCACACAGACCTTGCCTATCCTCTGGGCCTTGCCCCAGTTCTCAGCAGGAGAAACGCCACTCAGTCCATCATTTACAGTCCATCACAATAAGTACCAATAACTGACTCCATCTATGATCTACCCAAGTCATGACCCAGCCTGGTGTGTCATGTAAGTGGGCCTCAATTCCCCATCCAATCCCTAGTGCTGCCCCTTCTCTGGGCCTCCGCCTTCTCACACTGGAGCAGGGGAACCATCCCTGCCTTGGTAGCAGTCCCTAAGGTCAGCCAGGACAGAGGGGCCTTGGACCTCATTGTGTCCACCAAGACACAGAGCAGACCTCCACAAACAGTCAGGGGAAAACACAGCAGCAGGGCCCTGCAATGCTCACCAGCCATGACCCAAGTTAGAAAAACAGCACTCCTTGGACCCTCCCACGAGGGAGGTTCAGCGATGGGCCTAAGGTCCCACCCACAGAAGTAACCCAGCCACCTGGCCTCAGTCCATGCCCTTGGTCTCTCTGCCAGAAGACAAGGAACAGAGTGACCTAAGGAGGGAATGCCAGGCTCTCAGCACCCAAAGCAGCGGTCGAACCAGAAACCCACTGACTGAGTCCTGCCCACAGACACAAAATTCCCTTCAGCCCAAAGCCGAGGCAGTGAGTCTGTCTCGGTTAGGGCAAGCACACTGGACCACATTTACCAAAATTACACGTGCACATGCCCTCCAACCAGCAACTCCAGCTCTAGAAAATAGCAAACATACAAGGACATTCTTGCTTGAAAAAGCAAAACACTGAAAACCACTTTGAAAGAAAAAAAAAAATCAACACAGAATTAAGGAATTAAGGCCAATCTGTACAGCAAAATATTCTGTAATTGTAAAAAGAAACACTCTCTCGCTTTTTCTTTCTTAAATCAGGGTCTAATTTACATACAATTAAACCTACTCTTTTTTTCAGGGGACTGAGGCTTTAACTCAGGGGTGCTTTACCACGCAGCCCTTTTCATTTTTTGAGACAGGGCCTCACTAAGTGGCTGGTGCTGGCCTTGAACTTGTAATCCTCCTGTCTCAGCCTCCTGAGCCACTGGGATTAGAGGCATGCGCCACCCAGTCAAACCCACTCTTTCTAACATACAGTCCCAATTCTGACCAAGTGCCCCAGCACATAACCACCACTGCAACCAAGATACACAGCTGTTCTGTCACCCAAAACTTCCCTTTGCTGCCCCTCTCTCATCACCCTACCCTGACTCCTGGCAAGCACTCACCTGTTGTCTGTCTTGGGGTCTGCACATCAGACCCTAGTAGTTGCTGCACAGCAGCAATAAAGAGTATAGCCGAGAGGTCTGACCTCTTAAATCTCAAGAAAGGCAGCTGAGATTCCCCATGCTTCTCTGACATGCCCACAGCCCAGTGTCATCTGTGTAAAGGGGTCCCGTGCTTGGATGGGGACGCAGATGAGAATGTCCTTGGATGAGGGAACTATGGGCCCTCTTAAATCCTTAAATCTCTGAGCACACGAACCTTACCGATATTTCACTCATTCAAAAGTAGACTTACACAAGGGTCAAAACTCTTTAGAATGTTATAGATCTGCTACTCATGATCCACAGGTTCCACATTCCCAGATTCAACCAACCATGGACCAAAATATCTGGAGGTAAAAACTGTTTAAATGTGTACGGAGTTTTTCTGTTGTCATTATTCCCTAAAAAATATAGTATCAGAGTTACTCACATAACGTTAGCATTGTGTCAGAAATCAACAAGTGACCTAGAAGTGATAAACAGTACACAGAAGGATATGGGTAGGTTATTTGCAAATACCACTCCATCTGCAGAAGAGACTTATGCATCCTTGGATTAGGTAAATGCAGGGGACCCGGAACCAATGCCATAGGGATACCAAGGATCAACTGCATTTGTTGCTGTCATTAAACAAGAGACTTTACATACAAGCACAGCATTTCAACTCCTCTTGGGAACCAGAAGCTCCCCTGTAGGGCACACCCTGCTGTCCCAGTTTTCCAGCCCCAGGGGACAGACCAGGTGCTGACCTTGTAAACGTGCCGCCAGTTCTTGCCATGGTCATTGAGCCGCTTCCAGATCATGCTCATGATCTCCGAGAAGGCCACGACATTGTAGGTGAGGTCGGCAATCTCGGACATGAGAGAGCTGGACGGGCCCCAGGGATCATTGCTTGTGGCCTCACGGACCTTGATCTCCGCCTCCGAGTAGTTGTGGACAATGTTCTTCATCTGGCGCCGTAGGGACGAGGTCGACATGGTGCCCGGCGGTGGTGTCAGGGGCGTCAAGGGGCGTGGAGAGATGGGGCAACTCACAGAGGGAGGCTGCAGCAGATGCTGGCAGACTGCTGCATCTGAAGGGGGAAAGGATCTTTAAAAACACAAACCAGACACAGGCCAGCCAGAGCCCCCTCTCTCCGGCCTCTCCCTGAGGCTGCCTACTCCGCCCCTAACTGTGGCCTGCAAGGTTCTGTCCCTTGTTAACCTCTGTCTGAAAGTCACCCAAGCCATCTTTCAGTTCCTCAAATGTGCCCAGCTCTTTCCTGCTTAGGTCCCTGCTCAGTGAGGCAGAATATACAGCAGGTCACAGGCACAGAAGTCATACTGCCCTGGGCCACACCCCAACTCAGCCCCTTCTTAGCCAGGCTAACTTGGGCAGGCCTCAAACTCCTACCCTCTCTAAAACGGAGATCTGTGTGGCAGTCCAGAGAACGGAGAGGACCTGGTGAACAGAAGACCTCCGTAAAGACTGGACAGGCAGGTCACGAGACTATCACCCTGCCCTCATGCTCTCCTCCTTCACCAGACTCCCAGTCCCACACGTGCACCTGAACATCACGATCACGGTTTCCCAGGGGCCTCCCAGCAGACTCTGTAGCCCGCATGATGTTGAGTTCATTCAATTGATTCTGAGGCTGAGGTCAACCCACAAGCCCCACAGGGCAGAAACCATATACATGTGTTTGGACATGGCTTTTCCTACAAACTCTGAAAATCATAGAATAAATGGTGCAGGAAGGAAATGAAGAAAAGAGGGCAGGGAAGATCTCTGGATCTGGATAGAAGAAGCAGAGAATCCAGGGCAGAACAAGGACACAAGGGAGAGGAGGCTGGTGAGGGACTGAGGAGTTGGTAGGGAGACCAGAGTCACTCCAAGGCAGCAGGAAGTGGGGGATGCCTGGAAACCAGGCGTCCCTCCCAAGGGCTGGAAGGAAAACTCAAGGAAGGAGACATAAGGGATATAAGAGCCCCACTGATGGGCCCCAGCCATGTGTCAGGCCTCACTAAGCATAAGGCATACATTATCTCATCTAACACTGCATTAGACACTGCGCTCTGGAGGTTAAACAACTTGGCCACCGTCTTATCAGAAATGGCAAGGCAGGCTCAACCAAGGCCACCTGAGCTCTAAAACTTACACTTTTAAATTAACCTAAATTAAATGAACCTGTTGAGACCAACTGATGAGACCTGGACAGAAGGCAGAAATCAAGCTCATGAGAATAGTACCAGCAAGCATTTGCACAGCTCTCACCTCATGACAGCCACCTTCTAAGTGCTTCACACCCATTAACTCAACTAATCCTTACATCTCCATGCAACCCAGCCACCTCACATGGGAGGAAACAAACAGAGGCTAACTCCCTTGCCTAGGACACACCTCACACCTAAAGGAGCCTGGGTCCAGAAGAGGCTCTGACCACCAGTCTATGCCTCTCCAACAAACCATGGAGATTTACTGAACCCTACCATGACCTAAACCCAGGGGACACACTGGTGAATAAGAGTGGCTGCCTTGAACTCAGGCAGAGAACCTTGCCCACAACTAAGTGGAAAAGGCAACCAGAGTCCCAAGATAAGCCAGGGACACGAAGATGAAGAGATAATGTGACAAATACAGACAGAGAAAAGGAATGACAAGGATACTGGGAGAGAAATATGGAGAAACTTGGGCAGAGGGGGCTGCCCTGAGGCATGTTGAGACAAAGACACAAGGATCATGCAAAAATATGAGAGGAGAGCAGGGCAGGAGGATAGGGAGAAAAGACAGGCCGGAAACAAAAGGCTTGGGACCGAGAAACAAGAGACAAAAAAAAAAAAAACAGGATATAATGGGAAAACAAACGAAATTGAGATTCAAATTCTGAAGCAACCAGCAAAGCAAGCCTCCTTGAGATTTAGTATGCTCAATTCTGAAATGAAAGAATTCCTACCTGGCATGGTTGTTGATTAAGTAAGATGGGTACACAAAGTGCTTGGCTCTGTGCCCCACAGATAGTAGTCGCTCAATAACATCGTCTGCAATCATTATCAGAGGAACACAGAACATTTCCAAAGGGTGGCATCCCAAGATAGGCTATCTTAATGCCATGTACTTACTTCAACACTCTTAGAAAACACACCTCTCGAGTCAAAGATCCATAGGCACCCTTAGAATGAAGCTGTTTTTCAAATCAAACTGATACAAAGGGAACTACTGAATTAAGCTGAATACAACTGCTATATCAGACAAACTTCGACAAGGGAACTCAAATGACCAATATAAAACATTTATTGAGACAAAAATTTCTAATTAAAAAATAAATAAACAGAGCTCCCAGCTAATCACACACTGTTCCAGACACACTGGGCACTTTTCAATACCACCTCAATGGAGAGGCACAGACCCCTGCGTGTACCAATCACACACACATTTAAGACTAGGAAACTAAGGTCTGGAGAGCGAAGTCGCCTGCCGGGTATCACACGAGCACCAGGACCAGAGCGGGCGCTCTTCACACACCGAGCCCTGGCACCCCGAAAGGCGCAGGTCCCAGACCCAGCAGGAGCGCGCCGGAAGGACGTGAAGGAGACCGGCGAAGGGGACGGGAGCGGGGGAGGCTCGGGAGAGAAAACAGAACCCGGGAAGACGAGCACAGGAGCCTGACAGACAGACAGACACACACAGGCACTCCAGCTCCAGACGCTTCTGTAAAAACACCGACTCGGGCGACGAGAGAGCAACCCAGGCAGAGGGGCAGTGGAGACGGGGACGCTGACAGCCGGACCGAGAGAGGCACAGACAGCGGACAGACGAGCCCGTCCGGACGCGGAGGCACAAAGGCCGCCACGGACGACGGCGGACGAAACCCAGAGGAACCGGAGAGAGCAGAGGCCCGGCCGGAGCCCGCGCGCCGCGGCCGAGGCCCGAGCGCCCGGCACGGGGCGGGCAGAGAGAGGACTGGCGGCCCCGGGTACCCGGCCCGCGCTCACCTTGGCCCCTCACGCGGGGCTCCGGGGGGTCATGGCGGTCAGCCCCCTGCCCCCGCTCGGCCTCGGTGTCGCGGGGCGCGCGCCGGCTGCGGGCGGCGGAGGCTCACAGCGGCGCACACGCGGACGCACGGAGAGCCGCACGCCGACGGCCCCGCCGCCCCGGCGCCCGGGAGGGGCGCGGAGAGCCGGGCGGGGGAGGGGAGCCGCCGAGCGGACGGGAAGCAACCGAAGGAGCCGACGGACCGGAAGCGGAAGTGATCGCGCGCCCCGCCCTCTGCGCTACTCCCGGCTCCGGCGGCCCCCGCTTCCGCGACCAAAGCCTGCCCGGGCAGCATCATTTCCGGCACACGAACCCTCCAGGTTAGGCGCTCTTGCGCCACTTCCGCCCGTCACCGCCCCCTCCGCGAGGCCCCGGACCTGGCCACAACGCGCGCGAGCCCCCTGGCGAGGTAGGAGCCCACGTGGGACCCCTACACCCTCCCACCCAGCCCGGGTATCAGGAGAGAGACCCTCCCAAGGGCGAAATCTCCAGCCCGCACCCGCCGCGCAGGGCCGAAACACAGTGGACACAGATTATCTCCATAAAGTAAAATACAACAAAATGTTTAATGAGCAAATTCGTCTTAGCAAATATGAAACTGCCACAGAGAGGAGGAGAGGGACAGGGGTCACGGGACTAGGGTGGGAGCGAGTCAGGGAAGGCCATAGAGAACCAACTACTTCAGAAACCAGGGAGGGGACCAGGGAGGACCAGAGGACGGGAGCTGTGGTCCTGCAAAGGGAAGAGGGCAGGGCACTGAGGGCCGGACAACAAAATTCAAAATAGTTTGGCCATAAAATATAAACACGCTATGTTCCTACCATGGGGAAGGGGAGGAGAAAAGGGGTATAAGGGAGGAAAGGCTGTATTGGGAGGGGCCGTGGGGGTCCTACCCACCCTGCTGTGTGCCCGTCCCCATCCCAACCCCTTCCCTCTGTGTCTGTGTGGGTGCGTGTCTGTGTGGGCCTGTGTGTACTTCCCCAGTCCCTTCCCTGCCCTAACCTCCCAACCCCCCCACCCCCCACCCTTAATTGCTGCCATTCCAGTTGCTGCCGGCTGTCAGGCTGTCATTCGGCTGTCACTCCTCTGCCCATCATCTTCAGAGGGGGGAAAGGGGGGGACAGGCGGGGAGAGAAGCCTCCAGCCAGCCCTGCCCCCACCCTCCCCAGGCCACCTCTACCAGAAGTCCCGGCGGTGGTAAGAGTCGGGGTCACAATATTTTGTGACAACCACTCTGTTGGCGAATTTGCGACCCGTCAGGCCCTGCATGGCTTTCTGGCAGTCAAACACAGAGGTGAACTCCACAAAGATCTGTGGGGAACAAGAGGCAGGTCTGTGAACAAGGCTGGTCTCCCAGTAACCTACCAACATCCATCCAAGCCCATGACTGATACAGCGAGAAGGGAAAGAAAAAGAGCCTCTTCACAGCTTTCTGAAAAATTGCAACTATAGGTGCAGTTTCATAAAACAAGGGAACACAGATCAGATACTTCACAGGCATGGAAAGAACAGAGGCATGCCTGAGAGTCACCTGAATCACACAGAGCAGCTGGGAAGGTAACCAAATGCCCAGAGAAGTCACTAACTCTGTCTACTCTGCACCAGCCACCTTGTGGAGAGCATCCAGAGCCACCGAGGGCCATGCTTTTTTCCCCAGATAAGTAAGGGATGAAGTAAGGGAAGCCAGAAGTTAGAATTCAAATCCAGGATGATAAAAACTTGAATCTATTCAAACTTCTAATTGTGTTTCAACAACCAGTTTAGAGAAAATGGAGCATATAAAGAGCCTAAATTCTATACAACCAATGACCCTATTTCTTCAACACATAAAACAGCTTGACTTCAAAAGTGGGAGCGAGATATGGGGATAAAACTGATGAGAAACTTGGTAAGAGGGGATCTTGATTGAATCCTTAATTCAAAACACATTTTTTAGACAGTAATAAATTTGAACATAGGTAGATACCAAGAAATTAATGTTTACTTTGTTATTGTAATGAGTATATTATGATTTTGTTAATCCCACCCCCACCCCATACTGGAGCCTGAACCCAGATCTACCTACGACTGAGCTACCCAGGCTGGACTCAAACTTGTGATTCTACTGCCTCAGCCTCACAAGTAAATAGGATTATAAGCATGTACCACACCAAACTAAAAAAAAACATTTTAAGGTTATTTGGTTAGATCAACGGTTCTCAATTAGGGGGAGACATGTCCCCAGGACATACTGAGCAATCTTCAGATGTAGGAGTTGTCACAAAAAAGGGAAGTAGCACTGCTGGCCATCTAGTAGGTACAGGCTGGGGATGTAGCTAAGCGCCTAGGATGCACAAAACACCCAAAGCAGAGCTAACTAGCCCGATATTAACTGAGAAAAAGTTTATTATCTCAGGCAAAAGACATCTAAACTATGTTTGAAATAAACCTCAAGGCTAGCTGTCCCAACACTGGCTGCTGAACCCTTACATACCAGCTCATCAACCTTCCTTCTCACCTGCCACTCCCAGCATCTCCTGGACCTCCTCCTTCCCTGTCCCAACATACCCAAACCAATCACCAAGAACTGGAAATTTAAAGGCTTAACTCTCTCACAAACCCATCAATTTGCAGGTGTAATGGCTCAGCCTGTTAATCCCAGCAGCTCTGAAGGCTGAGGCCCTAAGCAACTCAGACCCTGTCTCTATATAAAATACAAAAAAAGGGCTGGTGATGTGGCTCAGTGTTTAAGTGCCCCTGAGCTCTACCCAGTACCCCCCACCCCCAAAAAATTTAACTCAAACCCATCAGCTTCCCTCCACCCCCTGCAACTAGTTGGTCCATTTCACTACTGTGACAAACTGTGTTGGCTACCCTATCAGCAAATAATATCACGGAAATAGAGTCTTAACAGAACCATGGCTCTTTATGCAGTCTGTCACAGAAGGAAGTCACTGCATAGTACATGACTACACCAGAACAGGCAATATATTTCACACAGATTACTGCAGGAAACTCTTCCTCCATCACCCTACTCTTGTTGGATCCTTTCTACTTCACTTTCCAAACTGCAGTAGACATCACCAAAAACATGAACATTGCCTTCTCTCTTCTTAAAAACCCACCACGACCAGGAAAATCCCAAGCTTCTTCCACAATTTCATGAGTCCTCCCTGACAGAGCTGTAGAGCCAGACTCCTGACAATTGTAGTTTTGCTCACTGCGACCTCAATGAACCTCAGTGAACCCCAAGGACTCCACCACACTTCTATCCTGCAGGGCAGGGCAGATGCCTGCTTAGTACCCATTATAATAGTCATCTCTACCTGCCAGGTTCCCAGCAGCTACCTTCCCATTTCACTCAAAACCACAACCCAGGGTCTACCAGGATCCACCTGGCCACCTGCTCTTTGAGCTCATCTCCCACTGCTCTCCTTGGCTACACTGGCCTCCTCACTGTCCCCAAACACGTCCAGTCGTCTCTGCTTGCTGTGCATTCTACCTACGGTGAGGGTACTGAACCTCACTGTTGTCTTCTTAATGCCACCTCTCGATTTCAATGACCCCTTCTAAAAAGGGCATCTGGGCCACCCCATTTCCCACCCAACATGGCATACATTCCCTGACAACAGTGCCCAGGACTTCAGGTACTTGAGGGCAGGAGTTTTCTGCTTAGACAAGAGTTTGGTGTAAGAATTCCACTGACATACTGAATACATCAGTGAGTACAGTGACCTGAGGCAGAGAGCAGGGGTGACATGACTGTGGGCTCTTAAGTCAGACTACAGGGACCTGGACCTGTTTGTGTGGCATGTCACCTCTGTGCTTTGTCCCCTCCCATGAGAGTGCCCTAGTCTCAGAGCATCTGGCACACCAGAGGCACAGCATAATCGGGAGCTGGAATACCCTCACAGCCTTTCTCTCCATCTCATAGACAAGGCAAAACACGGCACCCGACAAGGGAGATACAGAGCCAGGCTCCAGACCAAAGGTGCTTCCACAGAGCCTAAGTTCTCGGCCCCAACAGCTCATCTCCATCAGAGGACCCTGATCCTCTGGGTCACCAGCATCTCCCCTGGCCAGGCCAGAGGGACACTCGGTAAGGGTGCAGGGGAGGGAGGGCATAAGCTGAGCCAGGATGCTCTGACCTTTCCGCAGCCAGGCACCTCGACGCCATCCACAGGCCGGGGGATCTCGATGGACTTGACAAGCCCGTACTTGCTGCACTCATCCCGCACATCCTCCACAATCTCCTCGTACTCCTCATCATCCAGCAGCTCCTCTGGCAGCACCATGTTCATGAGGCACAGGACCTCAGTAGGGTGGCCGCCCATCTGTACCTGTGAGCTCATCAGGCCCGGCACCTGCAGCGTCACTGGTGTCTGATTGATGGTGCTCTGTGGGAGGAGGGGCAGGCGAGGTGTCACAGGGGATTCAGACTAGCCTCCCTCCACTCAAGGCCATGCCCTTCAGAAACCAACTCAGAGGAAGGCCACTCCTCCGCCTGAACACATATATGCCTTACTCCCCAATACTGGTTCTGATGATCCCCCAAATCCCCTCCCGCTAAAGCTGGGCAGAGCTAAAGAGAACCTGTCCCCTACCAGCCCTTCCCACCCCCAGGGTCCCTCTAGCCAATGAAGATGACGTGCCGGGGGGCTCACCAGCGTGGCGTTCTTGGCTCCTACGCTTGCCCTTTGGACAAGCAGTTTTTTATCCCCCAGCTGCATCCCATTCAGCCCAGCAATGGCCTGCAGTCAGAAGGTGAGGGGTGGGAAGGGTACAGGAGATATGTGGGTCAGGGCCCAGGAGCCCAGCACCTCCCCAAAAACCGGGGCATTGGTGGGCAGAGGGGAAAGCAAAGGGGGTTGAATTTGGAAGGAGCCAAAATCAAAGGAAAGGTGGAGAGTCCCATTCAGGGCCCCAAGCTCCCACCCTATGCCCTGAGGAGAGACCTCAGCTTGGAAACTGAGCAGGGCTGGGAAAGACAGAAGAAGCAAAACAGCTGCCAGGGCTCACCTGATCCGTGACGTTGATGTCCACGTACTCACAGAAGGCATAGCCCTTGGAGAGCCCTGTGGCA